TGATGATGATTTTTATTGGCTATACATGGCGGCACTAACTATTTTTTCTTCATTGGGCAAATTTTGGTGGCTGATATGAATGTTTGACTATCTAAGCCAATCTGAACGGTTCAATGTTATTAAAAGAAGATTATAGTAATTTAATTAATTAAGAAATGCTATCTTGGACAGATGGCCCTCCTATAGTTAGGTTTCTTTCCTTAATAAGAAAGTTCTACTATTGCTATTTTTAAGAAAAAGAGAGGCCACTTGTCCTTTTTTCAAATTTTATTTTTTATTTTTTTATATATGAAAATATTTTTTGGTTCACAATAATTAATTAGTCTTTTCTACAAGAAGTAAGAGATAAGCTAGGGGTCCTATTCTATAAAAGATTTGTAAATTTTAGGACTTCTTTGCCATGAATATATTATTTTAGGGTGTGTGAAATGAATACGTTAAAGCTAAATTTAGGTGAATTAAAATAAATTGAATCAATAAATAAGTAGAGGTATCAGCTATTTCAGATTTTGTTTAGATCAAAATGGACGGTTAATTTGAGCTGAACAATGTGCCGTATAACTAATTAATCCACCCAAGTATAAAAATCACTCTATATTAATAAACGTAGTTTGTTTAATTACTAAATCAAACTAACGAGGATTTTTTCTTATTAATGATTTATGATGACTATATCCAATCAAACCCAAACTAAAAAATAATAGTATATATTTTTTTTATGTGTGCTTTAGTTTGTTATGCGTCAATTTAGGTTGTTCAAATTAGCTCGTAACTTTTAAATGAGCTAACTTGGGCGATGCTCAAATTGATCCACCATTGAATATAAGTAACATCTCTAGTCTAGTCCATTCATACTTGAGTGAATTATATTTTTATGGGCTAAATTTGATATTTATATCATAAATCCGGAGTTACTACATGACATTTGTAGTATCTATTTTCTTCTTGGACATCGGTTGAATAGCAATTAAACATTGTAAGGTTAGATTTTGTGACATTTTCAAATATTTCGAAAAGTTTAGAACATACACCTAGTACTATAAACTTCTACACTTATTAAAGGTGCTTTTTTTTAATTCTCTCCTTTGGATTTGCTCTTGTTATATGGTTCTTCAATTATATGAGAAATTTCCTTTAAAAGTGTAAATTGTTAGTATATGGTTGTCATTATTGTTTGTGTATGCTATCATATAGTAAATGCACCTCTATTTTCACATCGACATATTCACACTAAAGTTCTTTGTCTAGGTGCAAAAAAATCCTACCATTTTTAGGACAACAAAGATGAATAAATTATGAAGTGTTCACACACTATCATTTTCAATTAACAAACAAAATAAAGTGTCTTAATTAGTTTGATATAACAAAAACGTTTCATACATTGTCTAAATTAAATTAAATTAAATTAAATTCATGCATGTAAAGGATGACAACTGACAAGTTTACAAGTTGAATTCAATATTGAAGCATTTTCTTTCCTCTAAAGTAAACACTTGGTTTTATATAAAAATAAAAATAAAAATGAAGATTTTAATTTAACTAGTGATTGAATGTACTCATATTAATTAAAAATTACTCCCTTTGTTCAATTTATGTGACACTTTTCGTTTTTCGAGAGTCAAATAGTTTAAGTTTGACCAGAAATTTGCACATGGAATCTTCAATTTTTTTAAATGAAATTTATATATTTGTAAACTATGTAAAAAGTACTATAAGTCACAATAATTGATAATTCAAAATGTTTAAAAGATCTATGAAAAATTACGGTCAAAGATAAACTTGTTTGAATCTCGAAATCCGAAAAGTGCCAAATAAAATGGGACGGAGGGAGTAATAATAAGAAATGTCGTTTTGTCGCATGCTTTTAACTCTAATGTTTCCTATTTGGGTTCAGAGTACAAGTTTTAAATTCTTCCCGTTCTCATCAATGATGGAGTATGGACCAACCAAACCCTAGGTAGAAGAATAAAAAGGAAGTTAACTTTCACCTAAAATATAATTACAAATAATTGTCTCTAAAAAAAGTAAGACAAATTAATTGCTATAACAGATTAAAGTTTACTAATTTTTTTTTTATATTATCGATGTAAATATATACGACGCAACTATTGTGCATCCCCTTAAAGTTGACATGAAGTTTCACTTAGACACCTCAAGTGGGCGATGTTCATTTTAGACACCTCATGTAGGGTCTCGCTGTGTCATTTTGACACTCTTTTGCCAATCAACAAAAATATATGAGGTGTGTGTTACACTCGCGAATGACGTGTAGAGTGGCGAAATAAATAACGATATTTATCAAAAACAATTTATAAATAATGAATTTTGAGTAAAAAATAAAGTAACCAATGACTCCATGACACGTGAATTTTTGCCCAAATAATTTTTTTAAAACAAATTAAATCAATAAAATCCCCACATCCCCCCCCCCCCCCCCAAACCCCCCCAACCAATTGTCTTCTCCAAAAACCCATACCCATTTGCAGAAACACCTGCCCCGCCTTCTCCAAATACCCATACTCATTTGCAGAAATATCTGCACATACCCGTTCCCCCACCCCATTGTCTTCTCCAAAAACTCCCATCTCTTGTTTGCTAAAACATCTGGGCACCTACATACTCTTTCTTTTTATTAATGTCTTCTTCAAATTTTTCTTTTTTCTTTTTTACGCTAATTAGCAAGTTTATAATTCACCAAAAATAAAACTTACTCCTCTTTAAATATTAAATTCTTTCAAGAAAGAATCTCATGAATAATTTAATATTTAATCTTGTAATGGATCTATTCCTAAATTTCTAAAATAGTTTCCATCATTATTTTTATTCACCATGTTGGATATTTAAGTTTGCAAAAATGGTGGCTGAAAATGGGAAAGAAGAAGAAAAAAATAATTAAAAAATCAGCTAAATAGGTTTTTCACGCGTGCTCAACAAGTGTATTACACTCACTAAGCCATGTAAGCAAAAAATGTCAAAATGATATAGTAAAACCCGACATAAGGTATCTAAAATGAACAAAACTCAATTAAAATGTCTAAGTAAAAATTAGTGTCAACTTTAAAGGATCACCGATAATTAAGCCTTAAAAGTATTATGCGAAGAGTAGAGCACATTCAAGAAGATTATAATTGAACAAAAAAAAAGAAGATATGATGGCCTGCAATAATAAGCTTTATGTAAGTACATAAAGACAGTTACAAATCAAATGATTGTGGACTTGTGGTTGTCCTGGTGGGGATAGCTATAGTCCTCCGTCTTTAGTTAGAGATTTTAATTTTTGATTATGAGAAAAAGTTATGTTAGTGAGTGTTTTTTTAATGTGTTTTACGTAATATGAATTAGAATAAATTGAATACTTAATAGAAATATTAAATATCGAATAAGAAATGGAAAAAAGTATATAAAAAAACAGTTGAAGATGAGTCCAAAAAGAGTAATCTTTTTAAGTGAACTTCTTACACCCAATCACCCATATGTTTGTATCTTCTCATGGCCCTGGCCTAGCTCTTTATTAGTGCTTCTATATTACAACAACAATTAATATCTAATGACCTTCTAGGCTAGTACTATTTAGTTGCATAACAGAAATTGCTTTTCAAGATAAAACACCCCTTAAAGTCCCTTTTTCTAGTGTCAAATTGGATACATAACAGAATCTTGTTAAAAGAAACTGATAATTGAGAAGGTAATTAAGTAACACACCCGATATTTATACTAAACTATATTAATTAATTGTTAACTGATAACCATATATATAATGCACAAAGTATTTAGCGTTCACGTAAAGTTCAGAAATGAGACGCACCACACAAAGTGACGTAGGTAGACTACTCTAATGCATACATTAATTGCTACTTTCACGGTTCAAATTTATGACATATAAGTCACATAAAAATAACTTTATAATTGTTCCAAGATCCTTTTAACATCGTTGTACAAAAAGAATCTTGAAGTCTCGTATGATTGTGAATTGAAAGTATGAAAGGGCCTTTAAGAAGCTTAAGACTTTTTGGACTAATTTTCTGTTTTATAATGTGAGGTTAACGTGTCTAGTCAGAAAACTAACAGCATGGAGATTATGCGGAAAACTGGTATGAACTAATTTTTTTTTATTGAAAATGAACATAAGTATAGGGTTATAAAGGTAATTTTCACTTGGTTAAATGGAATTAAGCTAATTTCAGGTAAGATGATGTAAACCTTCTCTTTTTAGTATTTATTTCATTAATAAGGTAGCCCATTTTCACACGCTCAAAAGTCCAGAATTTTGAACAGGGAGGGTTAATTTAGGAAAATCACTCAATTACCTAATAAAAAATTACTTAAAATGTTGTTTGCTCCGTTTCAATTTGTTCATCTGATTTTTAACTTGACACGAGTATAGAAAAAATAAAACCTTTTAAATCTTGTGGTTTGACTAAAAATCATGATCTTACATTAAAAAGTTGTAAGAAAAAAGAAAGGTAATATTTTATTTTTTTAAATGAACTAAAAAAAGATAGTAAGACAAACAAATTGAAACAATGATCATATAAAGTGATGTTGGATTTATAGTTCTGGTACACAGTTGAAACAACTCATGAAAGCAACAAAATTGAAAGGTTCTTCAACTACTACTATTACACAACAGAAATTCCAAATATAAATAAATTATATGTTCCAAAGAAAAACACGACTTTTGGTTAAAAATAATCACTATATGACAAAAGAAATTTTGATGCTTTATTTAAGGAGATGAAATGTATTTAGTCAAATATAAAAAGGGGTGTATAGAGGTTTATATGAGAAGAAGAAAAATTAAGAGTTTTTTTTATTATAAGAGAACAAGGGCCTAAAACAATAGTTCCTTAGAGCTCACGTTTCTCTCCATCTCCTTCAAAGACCACTATTTATGGCCTTCTTCTAATCATTTCTCTGATTTTTTCTCCAACTTTCTCATTTGTTTCATTAACTTTTCTTCTTGATTCTGAAAGACCAAAGATATCATTTTTAAAGACTTTATATTAGTTCTTGAATCTTGATTTAGTATTATTTCTTTGTTGTTTTTTTTGAACTGTTAGGTAACGACCTGATTATTTAAAAAAAAAAATCATAAATTTTACAAAAGGGTGTTTAGGCTATTTTGATGATGGAGAATTTTTCTGGAACTGTTAAAATGGATGATCAACTGCAGCAGCAGATGGAACTTCCTCCGGGATTCCGCTTTCATCCTACTGATGAAGAGCTAATTACTCATTATTTGTCTAAGAAAGTTGTTGATATGAATTTCTCTGCTATTGCTATTGGAGATGTTGACATGAACAAAATTGAACCTTGGGAGCTTCCATGTAAGTTGAATTTCTCCCTTTTAGTCGTCTGGTTAAACTAAATATAGTTGGTGTATAACTCATCTATAATACTGGCTAGGAAAAGCAAACAGTAAATCTGATCGACTATTTGTGCTTAGTAAGTTGCTGATATTCTTGCTATGATTGTAGGGAAGGCGAAAATTGGGGAAAAAGAATGGTACTTTTTTTGTGTGAGAGACAAGAAGTATCCAACTGGTTTGAGGACAAACAGGGCAACTGCTGCAGGTTATTGGAAAGCTACAGGAAAAGACAAGGAGATTTTTAGAGGAAGATCTCTTGTTGGGATGAAGAAAACTTTGGTTTTTTACAAAGGGAGAGCTCCAAGAGGTGAAAAAACAAATTGGGTAACTCATGAATACAGATTAGAAGGAAGATTATCACTTAATAATCTTCCTAAAACAGTAAAGGTACAAACTTTATGCATTAATCCTCTGTTTTATCCCCTCTGTTTGATTTCACAATTCCTAATTTCTGTTTTTTTTACTATTGCACAGAATGATTGGGTGATTTGCAGAGTATTTCAAAAGACAAGTGGTGGTAAGAAAATTCACATTTCAGGGCTTGTGAGAGGGAATTCTGATGAAAATGAAATGGTCAATTCCGTTTTGCCACCATTGACAGATTCATCACCAAGTCACGTGCACTGCTTCTCCAATTATGTTACTACTCAAAAGAATCAAGAAAACAACACGATCAATTCCTTCAACAATTCTCCTAATTTCCCTCTTCTCTCGAATTCCATTGACATTTTTCAAAGAAACTCTCTTCCAAATTCGTTCACCTGGAACCAAAATGTCCCTCTTCAACACAATTTTCCACAGCCAGGTTCATTTCCTATACAAGATCCTGCAACTCTGAGGAATTTGCTTGAAAATTACGGACAGAACATTCAACATCAGAGTTTCAAAAAGGAGACAGATATGATCAGTGTATCCCAAGAAACAGGTATAAGCACTGATATGAACACTGAAATTACATCAGCTCAGCAGGATCTTGATTGCTTCTGGACTTACTGAAATTCTTGACAGAAAAAAAGGCAAAAAGAAGAACAGACATAGAGCTTCATTAGTAGTAATAGCTATTATGGTGTGAAATTAATTGTTATATGTATAGATTTACTAATCCCCTAAGTTGCATTCAACATAGTAACCATATTATGTCCCAAAAACTATACTCCTACCACAATTTTATTTTATTTTGTTCGTCATTTTACACTTCCCATTTGTCTCACTGCCTCTTATTAGTTATTTTGATATTGAACTTGTAAAAAAAATTAGTATTAATATTATGTGACTCTGTGAAATCAGGTTGGTTGGCATACTAATCTCTTATTGTGTTTTTTTCCCTTTGAAACTACTTTCTTGTCTATGGGTCTCAGAAAGATAAGGTCTAGCCTCAATTGCTGATACTTTTCTCTTTTGAGGTTGTTTTTTTTATATTAATAAAAACTAGCCCAAGACACATTTTGCCTAGCGGAATTCCTTAAAAAAAAAACAACCGAAGAACACTTTATGGGACTCAAATTAAACAATATGCCATGGACCTGTTTCTTCCTCCAAATCTCCACAATTTGTGTATAATTGTGTCATGATTAGGAGATAATCTCAAAGTTCTTAGGACCACTTTCAGATGTCAAAACAGCGTATTAACCAAACCACGTGGTGTCTTGTCAAAGAAATGATGTTAATAGTTGAGGGCCTAGTCGTTTTCTTCTGTTTTATCTGCTTTTTCTTTGACAGAGTATATAGTAATAATTATTGTTTATTGTAGGAATTAAACGAACCAAATGTCAAGGGGATTAGTTGTAACAACAATAATGTAATGTATATATCAAGTTGAGTTAGAGATACGAAATAAGTGGAAAAACATGCTTCTCGCCACGCATTAAATTAGAAAAACAAGGAACAGTTCAAGGCCCTAAGCATGACCAAAGTTTTGCCGTTTCTATGTTTCCTTCATGCTTTAGCTGTGACATAGAGGCGAAGTCAGAATGTTAACCTGGATTTGAATTTTATAAGGATGATTTCAAGTGTTAATAAATTAGTTCTAAATTTAATAGTTATACATATTTAATAAACTTCTTAATACAAATACACTATTTGAATCTAGCTCCGCCCCGTGGACTCACTCATGTAAAACAAGCGGTTTTAGATTTCTCACCGAATTGAATTCAAAATTTGAATTTGATGTGTTATGAATTCTATAATTACAATTTCAAATGCTAATAACTAGGTTTTATTTATTAAAAGTTTGTACATTTTAGTGAATTTTATGACACAAATATAAAATTTAGAATAAAACATATTGAGTTCAACTAATCAATTGAGCCCGTAAGTTGCATTCTAGCTCTGTCCTAAATTTATTTAAAATTTGACACAAAGATGAGTGACCAAATGGAACTAAAGTTGGTAAATTTCATATTCAATTCACATATAATATCAAGGCATACGATCAATTGTTGACAGAATTTATAAGTGACATGACATTGTGACTCGCAACATGTCTATTTGGTTAAGTATTGTATGTTTCCAATTAAAACAAATAATAATTGATCAGAAAACAGTCCAAAAATTGAACTAATAAGCATATGGTAAGTTCAGTATAAAGTGAACAACACCATAAATATGAGTAGTAGTAAATATCTGGTAGTGTTCAGCTATGATTTGTCAGAATATATTACTCCATAATTATACTGTGACTTTTATTAATGTTACAACATGTATTGGTGTTAAAATATTGAACCTGACCGAAAACTAAGGTACGTATGTTTGAAATAAAATCACATGTATTCAAACTGTACATTAAATAAATACTGTTTAATAACCATACGCTATCAAAATTCATGTGTAGCCAATTATAACGCGTCTCTATATATAAAATAAAATAAATATTTTTCACATTTACTATGTATTATATTGTTTTGAATATTAAACGTTATCCAACATATGATCCACGTAACTATGGACTTACTACTCATTAATGTTCTCATCGACCTTATTAAATGCTAATCACGCATGACCTTCTTACTAGATTAATTAAATTTGTTAGAACCAGACCCTCCCTTTTTCCATTTTTTCACTCAAATAATATTATGAGTACATATTAATGAAGAGTGTTCAAGTCTTTATCGACATCAAGTAATTGTCATGGGAGTTATTGTCGTTATAGATTTTAGAGACATTTCCAAAGAGTGTTAAAATGTACTTCCTCTGTCCCTAATTACTTGTCCACTTTTACTTTTATAGTTGTCTCTAATTACTTGTCCATTTTGACAAATCAAGAAAGGACAAATTCTTTTTACTTATTATACCCTCAATTAAATGACTAATTATTTTTAAAAATGTAGACCTTTTCATCCACTTCATAATTAATAGGGGTAAAATGGTAAACTCACTATGTCATTAATTATTTTTTTAATAGATGTGCCAATTCAAAAGTGGACAAGTAATTAGGAACAGAGAGAGTAATTATCACAAGTAGTTGTCTCTAAATAATACTTAAATTTAGTGAAAATTAAGCTATATTGTCATTAATTAATCAAGATTTTTTTTATGTAATAAATGTACAAAATAACTATTGGGCTTTTGTGAAGCCATATACTACTATGTTTTAGATTCACGAGTTGATTTCTCAAATGATCATTCTTCTAGTAATTATTATATTAGAAATTGAATGCCATATTTATTTTTTTATTTTAATTTCCTTCAATAAAAAAATATATTTCTTAAAGATAATAAATATGAGTTAAGTAATCCTATGATAAATTAAACTACAGGAACGTTCTCCACTAATACAAATAGAATTGCCTTTAATAGTAGAAATATATGACTTTAAATTCAAATTTTCTTGTTGAATATCAAAATAGATAGTAGTATCTTTTAAATTTTTAAAAAATCTGAAAAAGGAGGAAAAGAACAAAAGCAAGGGAGGGTGGTAAAGAAGACTAGTGGACAAGTGGAGGACAGTTAAGTGATTCAGGCAAATGGCCAACCTCCCATAATCACGTATTTACCAAACCTTTGACGTGCTTTTTTTGTTCTTCTGTTTTTCTGCATGCAAATTGTAACTATGGATCAACATGAATCGTAGTGCAGTGATGAAACTGTTTTATTTTTAATTACAAATCTTGAATTCGAACTTGAGTATGTAGAAAATCATATTCGAAGTGTTATTCCTAAATGGATCTTGCAATACGTAGTTCAAATTTAATCCAAGTTACAATATAGACTCCGAACACCAATCACCAAGCGGAAAGTAAAGAGTGAATAAGGTTTTTGTCTAACGGTTTGACAGGTCATTTCCAAATAGGACACGAGCTTCAGGTTTCGTCTTTACGTCACTCTTACCTGGTGGCTAAGGCTAACGAACTGGTGTCTTTCTGTCCACCACTCACTTGCCACGTAATCATATTTCTCTCTAGCCCCACCTCCATGCCTCAGGTGCTTGGCACGTGATACCAATTTCACTCGTAGCTAATAAAAATTCATCGCTAAATTCTATTTTTTTCAAAGATAACCGACTTCATATACATCATCATTGTATAATTAGTCTAAGTTAACACGACAATTATGAGAAACGAAAAAGTTGTTACAAGGAGGTAACATTTTAACAAGATTACAAATAATTAACAGTTAATCAAACTTTGCAACTTTTTTAAAATTACTAATTACAGAAAAGGTTGTTTGCAAAATTTATGTAATTAAAACAGAAAATAAATAGGTTACGTTGGACAAATCTAGCAAATGGACAAATCATATATAGCCGTTCGTATAGTGATCATCATAATTCAGTAATTCATTATACTAAAAATGTTATCTCTTGTCATTGGATTATTTATGTGATACTAAAGTGTAAATGCAAGATATATTGGAGATGCAAACAAATAATTTGTTAAGATAAGGTATGGAAATTAATTTTGAAGCTTATCCTATAGCCTTTTTTAAACATAAAGTCGTTTTGTTTGGCTAAAAATATGCCTGTATAGTGTGAAAGGGGGAGAATTGAAATCGTTAGTCATTTATGGCTCTTGATTTTTTTTTCCCCTACCCATTAAATTACTCTCTTTTTCTCAAATTAATATTATTTTTTATAGTGAATTTTTTTTATATCAAAATTAAATGTCATCTTAAAATTTTGTTTACTTTTCAATTATATCCTCATACTCCATATTTTTTTAACGGTGTACAATTTCCAAAAAATATTTATTAAATAAGAATAATTTAATAAATAATAAATTATAATATGATAATTTTAATTAAATTGACACTTATTTTGAGATAAGAAAATAAATTAGTAGTTCAATCCTATTCTTCCTTTGTCACAACGAGTATTAATATTATCCCACGTGCCCTTTACAATTGTTTTTGTTATATAATCTTTTTATTAATAAAAAGACAAAAAAGTAGTAAATGCAGTTGTCAAATGCAACACTTAGTTATATTTCTTCTAGTCGTAAAATTCTGTCCATGCTGAATTGTGAAAAGCATTTTGGGACTTTGCATATTTATTCAACATACTTCTATATTTGTGATTGTTTGCAATATTTTTTCTCAAAATATATTACAATCACAAAATAAAAATAAAAAAATTATTTCATCAAGATTGTGAGTATAAATCTATTTCTCTCTCTTAAGATTTCTCCATAATTCCAAGGCCGTTAATGACATTTTTTGAACTAAAGGATGTTGTGGACCTCCTTAAGATTTTTTTAATCTTCTCGATGTATTTAATTATCAAAAAAAGTTTGACACGTTTGATCTCTTTGTGAATATTCTATGAATTTATGAATTTTTCATGATCGCTCTTCAAGGGAATGTATTACCTTTTATATATGAATGAGCGAGAGTTTATGATAGAGTAGCCTCACTCGTCCTATAAAGTCCCACAAAATTTCAACGTGTACCGTGACCAGATAACATTTTATTTGATATTGGCATGCATACATTTATATCAAATTAAAGTTGACAAATATCGAGCAAAATCTAAGAAGAAATTAAAAGAATTTAGGCAGTCATCATGGTTGATTGCTTCATCTAGGAGTTTTCTGAATCTCTCCAATCACAGAAATTAAATTCAATGTCATAATGTTAGTAATATGCATGTGATCGAGTAAAGTCAATTTCATGGTTCAAGTCAATGAAAATGATGAACAAGTTCATTGAATGTTGGCAAAATCTGTTGGGATTTTGCTCTGGAACACGTTTTGCTATATATAATCCAATTGTACATGTGAAATAACACCACAAACATCACTTGGGAGATATAACATGACATATTGATATTTGATCACCTATATATATCATATTATAGCATGTGGTCAAGTAAGTTTCTTTCGTAGAAAAATTATATTACATAAGTAAGGTAAAAATATTTTACTATTTATACACAAATTTTAAATTCCCTCGACATAAGAGCATGTTCATTTTTCAAGTATAATATTTTTTGATTTGCTTTATTATAATTTCAGATTGCGTTAATGGTCGATGGTCATAATTAATCTCCAATTGGCGGCTATCTTGATGACGATATCAATATGGAGGATCTGAAATTGATCCATTGGGATTTGTCTTATTGCTAAATGGATAATCAATTTTGATAAAATGTGCAATATATTTTCTCTCTTTATTCTACGTCAAATAAGATACACTATTCCAAGGTAAGAGAGCAAAGGACTAACACAATTCAAAATTTAGTTAGTATTGGTTGATTGCGATGTTTAATATATCTAACAACTTTATCATTGATGGTTATGTAGACGGTAGAATCATATGTTTTTTCTATTTTGTGTTTCGTATTTAAATTGGAGTCTGATTTGCATAGAAAAAACTCACATTATGATTAGAGACGTATCTAGGATGGGGTCATCGGGTTCACGTGAATCCATGCTCTCCTCCTGAAATCATATGTAGTAGTGTTATATTTTTTAAAAAATATTTAAATATAGATATGTGAACCCATAGTTAAAGTATCATACCGTGCAATTATGATTTGGTGCCCTTCTCTACATGAGGTTAGAAATTTGAATCTTTTATTTATCTCGTTTTATTTTCCTTTCTAAAATTGGATAACGCATCTCCAAGTGGTTTGGATAGCTAAAAATATTTTTGGACCTATAATTTTAAAATTTTAATTATTTTTAGAAATAAGAACCTAAATGTTAAAACGATCAAATTTATATCTTAGATTCACCTTTTTTTAATAGTGCACCCATCATCTCAAGCATGAACATATAATTAATTTCTCCCCAAAGATTAACAAGTTCGCAAATAATTCACAAGTGCTAATATTTTTTTTAAAGACTATTAATTATTAAATAAAGTTTCTCCTCCATTGACTTGGGTGTAAGTTACCACAAATATTGAGAAATATATTATATTTAAAGTCAATGATAAAATCTTTGAGAAAATTGACAATCCTACTAAACCAAAAACTAATTTAAGTAGATGACATTATTATTGTGATTATTTCTCAAGTAATTATTGTGGTCAGTGTGAGTAATTGGGTGATTGACTTTATGCTACTAAGCATATTTGTGTGACTTACACCCAAGTCAATGGAGGAGAAGACTTTATTTATCTTAATGATTGAAGAACTATAAGGTCATTTATTTGGTATGCTTTGAGAGGTATTGATATTTTATTTCCCAAATGTTACATGTGCTTGTGTTAGCTAGATATCACAGACTCTTGTTGGTGTTGTATCGTAAACAAAGTGTTACTGTTCAAGTTTTTAGGAAAATAATTAATAGATCTCAAAATAATATTATCAGCATCTTATTTAGATTTTATTTTTAATATAGAAAAATCACCCCACATATATATTTAAGAGACAATATTACATATTTTAAACTTACTTTTTAAATATTATTACTACTTATGCCATAGACACGCATCAAGCTATGAGATTTCCGTGATTTCCAATAGTTTTTACAACATATGTATCTTCTAAAATGCAAATATCTATCACATGATGCTAAGGGGAAAAAAGAAAAACGAATTCAACCCTTGTAAAAAATAGATCAATTGTTGTCACATGTTTCAAAATATTTAACAACATTCTCTCATGGAGGCCTTATGGGGTTTATTATTGTTTTTTTTTCTTAATGATATATAACCTATAAAAATGTATTTAGATTCTTATAAATTGAATAATATCCATAATTTATTATGTAGAAGAATTGTAGAATATTGTTTTATTTATTTATTGTCGTGTACTATTCTATTCTTATAATAAAAGTTTACTTCATGTTAGGTTTTACTCCATTTTTTGCCATATTATAATGTCACAAATAATTTTCCTGTGAAAACTGAAAAGTACATATTGAATGGGACTTAGGACTAGCTAGGACATTTCAGTGCACCATTTTTTATTTTTTATTTTTAAATAAATGATGTTTGACCATAAATTGAACCTACATATTGGACTATTGGTTGTTCATGTTAGTGTACTGTTACCTAGTTTTATCCGACACAAATCTATATAATTAGTCTAACATTGAATATAACTTATAATGATAAATATTTATTCACACCTAAATATTTTTACTAAATCATCGAAATTAGTTATAGTTGAGTAATCTAATAAGGTAAGATGCTTGTTAATTAACTAGGATTAAATGATAAAAATATATGTGTAAATACATATTATGCATTTAGAGGCATGATTATTTTTATTTTTTTACCGTGGGGTGTATCAAAATATTAAAAAATAGACACATGTGAAAAAAAGAAGAAGGGAAATCAAGATAATATTTTATATATAGAATTGAAAATTTAATTTGAAAAAGAAGAAGAAGGGAAATCAAGAAAATATTTTATATATAGAATTGAAAATCTAATTTTAACTAAACATATGTAATTTTTTTATGAAAGGGTGTCAATTGAAACCTATTACTAAAGTGGCTCCGCCTCTGCATCTATTAACTTTGTGCAAACACCACATACAAGTATAAAAGCATTAGTATTTATTACTAATTCTATATCACATCAAATTTTTATCTATGGATAACAAAAATATACATTAATAAAGCAACAGAATTATATAATATTCTCTTTTTTCCAATTCATATGGCATAATTAAAAGTTCTATATATAATCAAATTTATAAATTTTGATCGTAAATTTGAATATAGAAATTTTAATTTTTTTAAAATAAATTTTATTTAAAAGTTTATATAAAAAATACTTCAAAATTTTAATATTTATTTATTTTGATAAATTTATCAAAATTTCAACTTTAACAAGTAAATAGTGACGGAGGGAGTACTAAAAACATTCAGAACCCAACCGCAAAAACGTTAATATGGAAATACTTGGCCCGGCCCGATAGAAAAAAAGGAATCAAAGGGATTCCGGCCACAGTTTTAAATCACACTCCAAGAAGATCCTCACATTGTCCGCGCTCGATCATGGCGACATCCTCCGTTTCTAGGGTTCCGGCAAAACCAGCGGCCACTTCTTCTCTACTGTCGACGCTCAAGGCTTACTTTATCCCTTTTATACTTTTCTCTACTTCGCTCTTCTATCAACTAATCGTGATTCCTCGTTCCTTCCCTCGTTCGCATTATGATGGTGACTCCACACTCTGATTAATTCATTATAATTCTGTTTCCAAGATGTATTCCACGTTTTTCTCATTTCTTGAATTAATTGGCTTGATTCCTGTAGTATTGGGTATCAGAGCGCATAGTTCAATTGAGGAAGTCAATCAGGCATACGAAAAACTCTCTTCAAAGTGGTATCCCCTTTTCACTGGCATTCTACTGTTAATAATACGACAAGTTCTTGATTATCTTTTGTTATACCTGTCAGTATATCTTTCATGTTTCAACACTACATTATTTTACTACTACAAGATTTCATACTTATCACAATTTTTGGTTAAGTAGCTAATATATTAAAATTCTCATTGACACTCAAGTTGTATTTAAATGTTCAGAACCAGTTTTGAAAAATACAGATAATGTTGAATAACTTAGTGACATACACAACAACAACATGCCTAGTGAAATCCCACAAGCGGTGTCTGGGGAGGGTAGAGTGTTCACAAACCTTACCACTACCTCGTGGAGGTAGAGAGACTGGTTTCCGAAAGACACTCGAGAACTTATTGATATATAACAAAGAAAATTGAAAAAAATATATCTTACTCTAAGGGGTTTTCGATATTTGTACTCTGAAAGTAGAACATGAGCATTTCCTGGTCGAGTTTTTTCTGGTAATTGAGTGGTTAGTCCACCTTGTTAAGGGGTGTTCATGCCTCATTTAAGCTTTTAAGGGTGCCAATGGGCTCCAAAACCTTACCTTTAGGGTGTGTGGAATTAACCTCATACTTTGTACAATATATTCATCATGTAGGTGTACTGATTTTATTGTCATGAAATTTGTAGATGCTCAAATCTTGTCTCAGTCGACAGGTCTCATCACTTCCCTAAGAATACTTTGAAATTCGTTAATGGGCCTTGTTAAAATAGCTGTTCTGTTTGGGTTTGCCTTTGTGTAATAGTTAAACTAGTTCAGGCGGAAATGGTAGTTTAATACCGATTATGAATCTTCACTTTTGCTAATATCTTGTGGATGACACATCACCAATTGTACTTGTAATCCTTGTATCTTGTGCTAATTTTGCTTTTACTCTGTACTATTGCATTTTAGACAATCAGCTACCTTGCCTCTTTTGCTGATGGGGTTCACCATAATCTTTTAAATATTTAACCCTGCACCCTCTTATGCAGATAGTTCTTATTTACACTAATCTTTCTCTAACTCAATCTACTCATCCTTGATAGATGTTCTTACGTATCCCGAATGTATTCTGCTCAATTAGAAATTCAGTTAATCGATAAAACAAAGCTCCACTATGCCACCTCTTTGAAAATTTGAACTTATGGAAAGAAAAATAAGGGTGTGTTTGGTAAGGAGTAAATTATATTTTCAGAAAGTGTTTTTAATTTTCTCATGTTTGGTTAGTCAAAATATTTGGAGAACATTTTCTTTGGGAAAATAAGTTCCTTAAAAATAAGGAACATGATTTCCCAAGTTGCATAAATGGCATTCCAGGTTTATTGTCTCCTCCCCACCCCCCGACCTCCACCCCTTGATCATCCCAACTTCGCAACCCCTAACCCCCACTTCCTATCCCATCCCGCCGCCATAGTATTTTGCTAAACAACATATAAATGTTGTTGGGTTAATATTATCTTGCTTCCTTACCAAACACTAGAAAGTAAGTAAGATACCTACTTGTTTTCTAAGAATTTTTTTTTCTTGGAAATCATTTTCCTTCATACCAAACACACCCTTATGCCACTCTACCGTGCTTATAAATTATCCCTTAAACTAAGCAAAGCGTTAAATTTCATAATTGATGCTTGGTTTATAAATTGTAACTTGATAATCCCGCTTCATACTTATAAAAAAAATTGTAACTAGATGTGTTTTAGGTTTCCTATCGGTGGTAGATGGAATAATTGGTCTCCTTATGTGGTTTCGGGAAATACTCACCTCGTGAGCTAGCTTTAGGAGGGTTCAGTTAGGCTCCATGTCCATTTTCTTATCAATGTGTGTTTCAGAGAATTTATCTCCATTGTTTGGGCAAAAACTGAAAAGGTCCACCAATGACTTAGTATGTTTTTAATAGGGAAATTATGGAAAATGGCAAAAATTACAATTTCTTTATGGAAAACATCTGTAGTTTAAAAATATTATAATAAACAATAATATGTTGTTTTTATAGCAAACCCTCTCCCTCTCTCCCTTGCTTTCCTCCCTCTTTCTCTCCCTCTTTATTTTTCTCCCTCTCCCGCCAATAAGAATAAATCCATTCAAATATATTATGTATCAATTGTATTCAATCAAATATAGGTGAGATTTTTGTATTTTCTTTCAATTGTATTAGGAAAATTGTATTTTGTATGTTTGTATCAATTGTGTTTGTATTCATTCTAATATAATATGCATTCATCCTCTCTGTCAAATGTATTTGTATCCAATGAAAGAGAGGATGAATACAGTTGTATTCGTTGTATTTCGAATACAATTGATACAAAATAAATACAGAATGCAATGCAAAATAAATACAAAATACAATCCTCTCTCCTCCCTCTCTCGATCTCGCTCGCCTCTCTCCTCCCTCTCTCGATCTCGCTTGCCTCTCTCCTCCCTCTCTCGATCTCGCTTGCCTCTCTCCTCCCTCTCTCGATCTCGCTCGCCTCTCTCGATCTCGCTCGCCTCTCTCCTCCCTCTCTCGATCTCGCTCGCCTCTCTCCTCTTAATATGTATTCATTTTGATAAAAATCAGTTTGTATTTGTATTTTTTCCTCCAAAATTTACGAAAAAATACACTCTCTCCTCTCTCTCCCAGATCTCGCTTGCCTCTCTCCTCCCCTAACATTTTGCTATTATTTGTAATTAAGTAAACTATAGCTATAGAGTCCTACTTAAGGGCTAATGTTTGTTGTTTTTGAAAGTTTCCCTTTTTAATATCCCTTTGCTGGATGAGGTTTAGTTGATATGACTTCATGGACATTATATGGATGCTTTCTATGAGATCTGTACAAAATGTGCTTAGAATTTATTGCACTTTTACTTTACCACTTGCACATCTTTGCTATCAAATCCAGTATTTAGCACAAAAAAACGTTGCTTTGGTTTGTTTGTTGGATTATATTTGCTGGAAATAAAATTGTATCATATACAGGGATTCAGGTGTTGAAGTTCCTTCTACCATTGATTTTATCAAGGTTAGTTGTCAGCACTTAGTTGACATTATTTTGCTGTACAGTGAATGGTGCGTTTCAACTTCCTTATTTGAAAACTGAAGCATGATTAAACTAGCATGTGGTTTTAAAAGGAAAAAAGTATCATCTGTATGCCAAAAAAATTTCTGGTGACTAATGTCCCTTATTTTATTTTTTTCTTGATCTTTTGATAGCCGCATAGAGGCAAAGGCATTGTGAAAGTTCATCCTATTGTTCAAATCTGCAATTTCCGTTGTCCTTGATCTTATCTATGATTTTAAAGCAAGGCCCTGATCTTGTTATAGCAATGGAGTCAATGAACACCCAATATCTTTATTAACCTAAACAAGTACATGTTTACAGATTGTTTTGTCCTTAGTCAATGGTCTTCAAAGCTCAAATTTTGGTTCAATGTTGAATTTCCTTGACCCCACCAATTGACCAACTTTCTGCTTTTTGTCCTACATAAAATGAAGTTAGAGTGCATGTGGGGATCAAGGTGGACACTTCATGCATATCTTTATTCAGCTGTCCCACTAAGCCATTCATCACTCCAAGTTTGTGGTGGAAGAACGTTTCTTTTAAGTATGCGGATGGATTTAAAAACAGGACAGTTAATCATGAAGCGTAGTGATTCTGCTTAATGGTTTCAGATAGTTGACCAACATTTAGCAAGCATGAGTTCCCAATTTTAAGTCTCTATTGTAGATTCTACATTATATGATGGTGACTTAACATGCCTAGAAAAAGTAGATGTAGGACATGTGAGGGTACACTTGACCATTTTGGTGGCAAAGCAATCCTAGTTTAAGGCTTTCTCAAAAAAAAATCTATGGCTTGAATGAAGGAAAAACTTTAGAAAACCAGGTTAATTAATGGAAAACAATCTAAGAAAGAAGAAGACTGCATTTTATTATATTTCTTCTCATGCTGTTGGATCTCCCTGGTCTTTTCACATTTTCTTTTGATTCTAACACTAATTATTTGCTTTTTGGAAAAAATATTTTCTTTTACTTGAAAGATTATCTCATACCAACCATCCAAATATTGGTAGATTCTCTATCTGCTAGCTTCTTGTCATTGTGTTTGTTTTCTTATTGCTGGCTTGTGCATTCTCAATGCCCTTAACCATGGGCATGCAATTAGATCTGCAAGACACGTCTTAGCATTTTTTCCTGGTGACATGGTATGTCCGTAGCTGCCGCCATTTCTGTGATTAGAGGTCTTGATATTTCTATTTTGGACAGCTATGAAGTGGTTAATTTTACTTTCCTGTTGGCTGGCTTCTTGCACCACCTATCATGACCAATCTGCCTTATTTTTTCTCCATACTAGGAATTTTCCCCATATCATGATCATTGCATAATTTTTTCACAGGCTCGATATGCTTTTGAGTTGTTGACAAATAAAATTTGGAAAAGAGACTATGACCTATTCAGCATTGATGAGCAATTTGTAAGTTTTCTGTTCTAGTTTGTACAGATGATTTTAGTACCAAAAATTGGAATCTGTACATTCTTCAGATTCCCTATTAATGTGTTCTATTTTATGTTTTAATATATTTATTCTTTCCCTATTCAGCATGTTATTGAAAAGGCTAAAGAGCAGTACGTTGGAAGAAGTATTTCAGAAATCACCCTTCCTCTCCTGGAGACAATTTCTTTTGGTTTGTAAACACCTCTTCAGAAATCACCTTTCCTCCCCGGTGCCATCCCCAAACCCCACAGAAATATAAACGAGGGATAATATGATACTTCAAGTGATTTTAGTGTAGTTTCGATTTGTTCTTTCTAGAGTCATTAGCTATGTTTATCTGATGCAGTTTCAAAAAATGTTTATCTGATGCAGATTTCTTTGTCTTTATACCTTAGATCCTGAAGATCATGCTGTTGATGTCATCAACTCTGAGAATTTTCTATCCAAGCTTGAAACTGATAAGGCATTGCTAATTCAGGTTAAATATGTGTGCCAAACTGGTTTTCTTACTCAAATTCTGATGTATCTACTAGTTTGTGCTTTCATTATTCACTCCCTCTACATGGATAGTTCCATACATACTGTTGTATCTACTAGAATGTACTCCTTCATTTATACATCTGGGTGTTATGAAGTGCATTGCCAGATATATCGCTCAATGACATGCCATGAAACTATTTTTGCATGATGAGCCTGTGCTACTAACTTAGCTTAATATCTGTCGTATAGTTTCTGAGAGCTGTATAATCATTTTTCATTGTTTAGTTTATACTTTTTCATTAAATTACTCCTATGATGAAACATTGATCAAAATTCTTGTCTAGATTTTCTCTCCGGGGAGTACACGATGTGCTCAATTTTCAAACAAATGGAAGAGAATTGGTAAGAGTTTGAATATTCTTGCAGCCATTTATTCTGTCTGTAATCTTGCTATGCTATTTGGTATTTTTTTCTTTTACCCTGCTAATGTTATTTGGTGTATATATCCCTTTATTTCTTCTGCCTTGTATGTTCAGTTACTTTGCTAGATGGGGTCGCAGATACTGGAGTTATTGATCTTGCTGATGTTCAACTTGCCACATATCTAGCTGAGAAAAGAACTGGTGGACTACCATATTTAAGACATGGAAAGTATTTTAATAAAAAAAATGTAAATATTACTTTGTCATTCCTCCAAAATGCTTCAACAGAAAAGTGTAGCTGTTATATAGTATTCTGCTGATATACAACTTGAAACACACTTCATGGAGTTCATATATAGGTGTGGGATTCAATTGTTAACATATAATAAGTAAATAAATATATATTTTGGATTGAATGAAATAAGAATTTGATTGCATTTATGTGGTGTTCGGAACTTGACTGCAACACTTGACCAGTAACGGCTGCTGTTAGGTTCTGAATCATGTTTTCTCTTAATTCATCAGAGGGAATATGTGTTGGACTTGAAATGCTATAGCTCATCGAATTTAGAAAAGAGTACATATGAGATGACAATACAAAAAAGCCTTTGCACTAGTAGATGATCTGGAGACATTGAAACTGAATTGTCGGGGCAATGGTCATGTCATGAATCTCTTTCTTAGATGATGTATTGTGTAAATTATACATTTGTGTTCAGTGGGGCATACATTAAGTGCAATTCGTAGGAGAAGAATTTTTGATACACTAATCTTCTGCACCACTCAGCTCACTAGGTCTATTTTTTGGCACTAAGATGAAGGAATCAAGATTGACTGCGTAAGCAGTGTCCATGGAAGGGCCACAGCCCGAAGAGATTGACTTAAATCAGATAGTTTTTTACCACTGTAATGTTCATCTAGGACTTATCCTTTGTTTTTTTGCTACCTTACAATTTCTGTAGGGCTCATTTCGTCCACCAAATTTGAATTGGAGTTGCAGGAAGTTCATTATGCTTTTATGGATTAATTGACACGGATGCATGTATTTCCCACATTTCTTCAACCCTTTTTAACTTGACTTATTGCCTCACTTACAGGAATTCCAGCACTTGTGGCTTTCCCCCCAGGTTGTAGAGGTTTAAGGTGCATGTCTAGGTAAGTTTCCTTTTCTCACCATTCTTCAGGTTATTCTCTTGCCATGCAGACATGTTTCTTGATTAAAGTTCAAAACTAGAGTGCACACTTACTTTGACTTCAATACAATTTCCTGCTTATTGTATTTTGCTAATGATAATTTATAATCTGGTTAGGTATGACGGAGAACTTTCTGTTGATTCAGTTACCGATTGGGTTGCAATGTCCATTCTAAGTTTGCCTCGTATTCGGTACTACTCGAAGGAGTCAATGGTAACATATGTGATTTAGCTTTCATCTTATGTTTTATTCTGCTCTCGTTGCATAATTTTGCTCTCGTTGCACAATTTTGCGTTTGACCAAATTTTCAAGGAGGTGGTTTTAGCGTTATATTATGATGAGAAAGACGGGTAAAGATTCACTTTACAATCCATATTGTTTTAACCGATAAATGATTTTAAATATATATTATGGAAGACTGTAAATTAAAATTCTCAATTTTATTTAATGAAATTTAAAAATAAATAAAAAACATACATACAAAATTTATCTATAAATATATTTAAGTCAAAGTAATAATTGGAATATTTTACTTAATATTCATATGATTGGTAAATCTATACATCTTACATAATTGTTATTATAACAGAGGAGAGAAATTAAGAGGGATAGTTTGGTAAGTATTCCTGAAAAATTAACTTCCGTTTCTGCTTGTGCTTCCGAGGAGAAGTTATAAATTTTTGATTCCAGTCTGAAGCATGAAAGTGGTTTATGCTACTACTTAGAATGCCTTTTTTCCTTTGAGAAAAAAGCTTAGGCCAAACTCCTTAATTCTTCAAAATAATTACTTTTTAAAAAAAATAATAAGCATTCCTCGTCTCCCAAAAAGCTTGGTCCAACAGGCAAACAGACAGATGTATTTTTCTAGTTGTAAATAATGAGTTTTTCCACTTTCACATTCTTATATCTGGTAACTCCTAGATGAACAATATGCATGTAAATGTTGTGCTTAACTTGTTGAAAGATGGACAAGCTTTGCATTCAATAAAGTACGGTTTGATATTTGACTAGTTTTAAATATTCTGATTCACAGTTCCTTTTTAATTTCAGGCTCAAGATTTTCTGCTGAAAAGCAAACCTCACAAGGTACAACTTCTAACACCCTTCCCAACTACTTCAGTTGTAAAAAAGAAAGAAAACAAAGTGATGAGAGATAGCCAGTTGCTGCAATTATAATTGACTAGCTTGATTAATATGCACAGTAAAGTATCCTTTATGAGTTACCCTTATATTTACCAGTTCATCCGCATCTATGTTAATAATATTTTTAGAGGTCATCACAATGCAATTATCAAAGGTCACATTCACGTAGTCCTCTATCAGTGTAAAACCATCTTGAAGAGCATCCTGCTGTTAACTTTTTCCTCTAATTATGATATGCTAATTAATGGCTTTTGTTTGTTAAAATATTGGGATGTTGCTCAAACATTGCCTTGAAAGGTGACCAATAAGTTTAGTAAAGTATTGCCATAATGCAATCACCTTTACTAGGCCGTTTCTTCTTCTGGAATCGATCATTGTCCAAAAATCTAGATCCCAAAGAAACACTTTTCAACGTGAGCTCTTTAAGTTATTCATGTATTAAATCCTGCATATGTAATACCATGTTTGGCAGCATTCTTTTGCTATGTATAGAATTCAACATACCTAATACAGTCTTTGGTTTGCAAGAAACCCCCATAACTAAAACATATATAAGTTATGAGGAAATTCATGCATTATTTTATGCAGTAATAACTAATACATGAAACTAAGCGCCACATAAAATGAAACATAGATTCCCTCATAATTTATCCTTGTATTACTAATCCTTGCATAACTCTAGTCAGCTACCAAGCGACCCCTTAGTATTTAAAATTAGAGCTAAAATAAATTCCGACATTCTGTTAAAAAAACACCAGCCTTCTGAAAGGAAGAATATGCTTTACCACTAGGTTCACTACTCAGTTGATATAAATCCTGGAAAACTATTGGTCGAAGTAGAAACAAGTACTTTCTAAGATTTCAACAAAATGGGACTTGAAGCAAAAAGCAAGAAGTGGAGCGCACTGCTTCTTTGAAGAGAAGTGCACAATTCACGACATTGAAAAAGTGCCAAACATATGAATTTAGTACCATATCGATCAAAAGCACTTGGAATAACTAATTTCAATATCCAATATTACCAATATTAACCCAACTCCAAAAATTTGAGATCCAAAGAACCGTCCTCTTCTTGTTAGGATCACTTTGTGTCATTTTTTGAAGGACACACTTCTATGAAACACATGGCTCATCCATGAAACTAAAGCTGAATCCCAGCCCCTGAAAGGATGAATATGCTTTAACACTAGGTCCACTACTCAGTTGATATAAATCCTCAGACAATTATTGGCCAGCGTCAAAATACTTGCTTGGATTTCGACAAAATATTGAAAATCGTAGACTTTAGGGTTTAAATTCCGGACTGTAAGACAAACTTAACCGTCACCTAAAATAGACGAAAATTTATATCATTCTAAGAGATTTGGCCAAACTTAAACACTGGAGATGATTGTAGGAAGAAACTTCCTTTTCCTAGAAACTGAGGGCATGGTATACTCTCTGTCACGGGTTTTAGTATTTTGTATTGGATTGGCTGCATACACATTATATTTAGTCTAGCTTGACTAATTTTATTTTAGGCAAGAGTACACCCTGCTTGAACAAGTGCAGACATTTTTCAATTGTCATTGTCATCTTTATTACCCTGGTGCTGCCATGTGTACTTGTTTTAGGTTACTTGCGTAGAATCTGACAAGTTTCTTGTTTTGCTCAATGATAAGGTCAAGGTCATTTTCTTCTCTCAAACTGGAGAGCGGGCAACTCCATTTATACGTCAAGCTGCTAAGAATTACTCAGCCTATGCTACATTCGCATTCGTGCTATGGCAGGAAGGAGAATCTTCATTGTGGTGGAATATGTAATGTACACTAGTTTGCTGTTTCTTTTACCCTCTATGTTGTGTATTTTTCCTCCCTCTCATGCTAATTTTTCTCTCTTTTTTCTTTTGGTGGGAGAGGGGTGTTGAATAGGTTCTTGATTTCCTGTTCTTTTGTCCTCAAATGTTCTCCCTCTCCCGCCTTCTCAAAAAAAAAAATGTTCTCCCTCTCCCGCCTTCTCAAAAAAAAAAAAATGTTCTCCCTCTCCCTTCTTTATCATCTCTCATAGCTTCACTGGTTTCCATTATCTTTTGGTTTTTCTTCATTGAGTGAAGGTTGAACAGCTTGGAAGTTGATTTTGTGTGGTGAACAGTTTAAGGTTACATAGATCTAAAGAATAACAATAAAACATTATTGGAAGAGAAGACTTATATTACTAACTAGAAGGCATCAACTGTCATATCATTCTAAATCTTAGTCTTGTTTTGGGTACAAAACTACTTTACACGCATGTGTTTGATGGTAATAACATGGAGAAAATAATTACTTTCTAATATATTTCCTGAATTATGAATATATCTGGTTCTAGATTAAGTATGAATATATTTTTTCCTGGGTATAGTAAGTTGGTGTTCAAATTTGTTAAAAGTTACTCCCTCATCTTAAATGAATGATATTATTTGGAGTATGAGTTTCTAACTATACAATTAGCTGATTTTGAACATGACACATTGAGTATTTTTTTCTCCAAAAAGGGCAAAAGAGGCATATTACCAACTTTTTAAAATAAAGTAAAATTGGACTATCTGATTTTTGTTTAAAGAGAAGTGTTGTCAAGGAAAAAAGTTGCTTGAGTACCCCAATTTTAACCATGTCATGAAGAGAGTACTTCTCTTTATTTTCTTATATTATTGAATTTGTTTGATTTTTTAAATTTTCTTAGTTGATCTTTTTTATTTTTTTAAAACTAGTTCAGTATCTGTTGTTGATTCCAACTTTTAGTAGTTTTTCTTTATCCCTAAATGGTAAAGAATGCATAGGTCAATAATTCTCCTAACATTTTCCACATTCTTTAAAATTTGTCTCATTTTGGACTTAAATTAGGTAGGTAACTTGATTATATTATCTTTAAAGGATGTCTGTAATCTGTATCTACTTCTTTATTCTTTTAGCTCTCTTGCATAATAATTTCTTTTTCTAACAATTAATCAGCTGGGCCTCAATTCCAATTTAGTTGGGCTGGACGTGAATCCCATGTCTTTTCTCTATATAGCCGATCATTTTATTAATTTCTTCTTCTTATCAAATTTCACAAATAGCATTCCAAATATACCCGGAATCTTATTTTCAGTTAGCAACCTGGTTGCCTTTTTATTACTGTTCAACCGATATCTGAGTGGGGATGTCTACAAGTAATGTTATAAATACGTTTTTTTGTTGTGGAGAACCAATCATCTCCACTGATTTGAAGCCTGAAAATCTTGTCGTTTATAGTTTTGTACTTTGCTATATGTCTACAAATAACAGAATTAACCTACAAAAGTGCGGCAACAGAGTTTGAGCATTGATTGCTATGGTCAGGTGTCATTAAGTAGTACCTTGAGGTACTCCTTTTATAAGTTACCTTGAAGTGCTTCATAATTGATGTATTTTAGCTAATAACTGAGAAAGACATTATGTTGATTGGATAGTCATCCTATTGCAGCATCCTAAAAAAGTTTATTGACCACTGCTAGATGGAACTTTCATGACGTGATTTTAGTCAGCTAATACATGTTGTCCAGGCAATATTCTCTTCTTGTATGATTGGTTCCTCTTCCATGTCTAATATTGAAAAGAAAAGGGGCTATAAATTTATGTGAATACAGATCTCTTTGATGTGAAATGCATAACTTTTATCTAGTTATGACTATACCGTTTTGCTCTGCTCCTATGATAAATTTTCACTGAAATATTTTGTGATATGACCTTATGTCCTATCTATACAGGTTAGGGGTCGAATCTGCTCCTGCCATTGTATTTCTAAAAGAAACAGGTGTCAAACCTGTTGTTCATCATGGCAAGTTTATTCCCTCCTTATATATATTTCATACCGTCATAACTTCTGGTGGCTGTGATAAGTGATGTCTCTAAGATAGCAAGCTAAAAATATGTACATGATTGTAGGCTATGTGAACAGTTCATTGTTTGTGGATATTATGGAGAAGAATAAATATCATGGTACTTATCTTTTCTCCCCTTTACCAATGTTTTTATCTATTTCGTCAGTTTCATAAATTGTTTTATCTGATATGTTTGTGCTGGCTAGTTAATTTGAGATTTTAGTACATACATTCCAGTCAGCCAGGTTTATTTTATTCATGTTACTGTAGTGGTTGCAATCATAGTGTAAATTTGGTGCTCATTATAGATTGTTTTAGCAAATTTCCCCCTGGAGTTATCCTGTTTATTCTTGTTGAATGATGTTGGTTTTTCCAGAATCAATAAAGGAGAACACCTACTTCAAACTTCTCATCACCACTTTTTCCATGATGCTATGAAGTGTTTATTGCTCATTGATTTCAAGTAAAGTTCCTCCAAGTAGTACCACTTCACCAAGATTTCTTTTTGTTGACTAAGGCCTAAGTCAACTAATTATCATTGTGGCTAGAGCTGGCAGTAGTCGAGTGAACATAAAAGACAATATAAAATTGAAGTCTTAAAATGATTGTTACATCCTGCGTTGTGCATTTGCCTATGCTCATTTAGAGTGTCATGAAATGGCTCTTGAGGGATAGTTAGTAGTTAGTACTATGTATACAGACGCAAACAAGGAATTATATTTCATTACTAGTTAATTGAGGTGTAGTTATTCATGTGACCACTGTAGCTGCTTCAAATTTGTTCCCATGTTCTGCATAAACTTGTCTAGGAATTTTCACGACAGTCATGACATTGACCATTTAACTAATTCTACATCTATGCCTGAGTTGAAGACTACCAACATGCAAATTGGTACAGTCATTCATAGCCCTCTATGAATGCATATCTGGGTATCTTCAGATTGGATTATTTTCAGTTGACAACATGCGGAAATATGAGTTCCAATATTTGTGTTGTGATCATAATTCAAGGATGATTATATTTGTGTCTATATGTCTTGAATTCTCCAAATTTGGATGGAGAAAAACTAAGATGCTGATTATTGTGCTGTAGATCCTGATATAGAAATATGAAAAAAGACTTCAAAAATTGTGCCTCTGCTAGTATGTGTCTTACAATCTTTCCTGAAATAGTTTTAACATGGATCTTGCTGGTTTTTGTTTCATACTTATTCAGTGCTTCCACAATTGAGGAGTGTAACTTCAAAGGAATTGGGTTGTGATCCGCGGGGTTTTTCACGTGCTGGAAAGGATACCAAGATATGGTATTGTGTTGTTTTAGTTGGGAGGTATAGCAAGGAGCTCAACGAAATGCGTGAAGTAAGCTCTTTTTTCTAGTCCACTTTTCTTAATGAAAGCTTCTACACTGTAATTTGTCTTTTCCATCTCAGATGTTTAGTTGATTATCTTTCCATCTAGTTTTAGAAAATCTGAATGGAGATTAGCGGCAGATGTAGTGTGATAATTTTGATAGAGGAAGAGAGAGGGAGGGGGGGGGGGGACTCTGTGTGTGTGTGAGAGAGAGAGAGATGTTGGCACTAGTAATACCATGAATCTGCCCGAGTATGGGCCGAACAAAAGACCCAAGCCCATGAATGACATGAACTTATAAAGTCCTATTCAGCGTATGTACTTTTGTGATGTTAAATGGCCATGCTGGACTACCTGGATCATACGAAATTTGTGTTGTGGGTTGCTAAGGATCACCTGATAATACATAGAAGATGTGCATCTCCAACAATTAGAACTGTCTTAACAATTCTATTTAAGAATGTTGAGATGAAGGTTTAATTAGAATTGGAACACTTTAATAAGATACCAACACCTAGAATAATCTGTCCATAATGATGTCTACTTGTTTGCATCTTCATATTATATATGCCTTCTCCGTTTTGTTATGTCCTATATAAAAGCTAAAGATCTCATCCTTCCAATGCATTTTCCGGTGAACTCCTTTAATCCTAAAATGCGGTAGAGACTTCCCCTGGGGCCTGAAGTACTTCTCATTATGACCACCACTTAGGTAGATTCATATGCTCCAACTCTTGTTTTACATTAAGCGACATGCAAAAAATGTTAAATGCTTTGAATGTCTGTTACATTAGCTGATGGTGTAAATTATCTATCACATAAGACCATGCGCAGGATTCAAGAAACCCTTTCAAATGATAGAGATTTGACTGCAGTGGATCAAGATCTGCCATCTGCACCAGCTCTGCTTGCACTAAAACAGAAACGGCTGACATTTACCTGGCTTGATGGGGAAGCACAGAAAGTGAGAACCTCTCTTCAAATTTTGGCATTGTGTTGGTTAAATAGTGACGTGATTACATTTTCTGTAGCACCAGTGGTTTTTAACTTTAGCGCCCTAATTATCATTGCCTTTTATATTATTAGATCAATCTGTTAGTAGATTCATACCCATCAGCAGTAGGAGTTGTCTTTTGACAGACTGATGGAGCGGAGTCAATAGAGAACTACAGAAAAGCATGAATTTAGATTCTTTAGTATTTATTTTCTAGAGTGAAGATCAAACTCCTTCCACCTCTTATCTTTGATATTTAACTAGGAATCTTTCAATTACTTGTTTGTGCGTATTTGATTCCCCATCTTAGATTCTTATAGTGTTTCCTGAAAAAATTTCAGTTCTAGGGAACTTCTGTGAATTTATTTATTCTTTTGCACAATTTTGGAGAAGGTGCATTAACTGATTGCCTTGATGGTTTTATTTTATTTAGCTATTACAGAATAATGGATATAGAGGATCCATATTACACAGCTCCAACTAATTTGGGATTGGGGATTAGTTGATTGATTACTTGATAGGCTCTAATGTCCTGTTGGTTTTGGATCCAAATGTTGTTAATCTTGAATACTCGTCATGTTTTGGAAACCTTTTTTTTTTCCCTTTCTATAGTTGAGAGATGCTCCCTGAACTTGAATGTGAGTCATATAGCTAACTTTCTTTCCCTATGCTATTATTCCTCTAAATCTAGGCTTTTATTTATATAAATAATCTGAGCATGTAAGTTTTGATTAGTTCTTATGTTTATGTTGGATGACTCTTCTTTCTGCCATGTTGAAGGCTAACAGCTTCTCCGTTCTACAGAGTTACTGTTTCTTCTACATTAATTCAGAAAATAGTTATGAGACCTGTGGGCCGATGAGGGATATAACAGACACAGCACAATTGTTCATTGTACGCTATGATAGGAATGATACAGAGAATGTTGGAAAACAGCCAACCAGCAAATTCTCAGAATTGTACAATGTTGAAACTGATCCTGCAGCTCAGCTTGTGGCAAAATACAATGGTTCTAATAAAATTGAACAGGTCAGTAGACTGACAGAGATCCCCTGAAATACAATAGCAAGTCACATGATGATTCTGGTTTTCTCATTCTCTTGTGATTTGAGTATAAACTCACTAGCTAATCTATCAAGTGTTCCTTGACAGCAGCACCGAAATATGTATATAAAGCATCTTCTCCCTTGCTCTGTAGAGCAATTCTTTTTTCTGTTGAAAACAGATTACAGCGTCTATAGTGGACGATATCAAAGTTGTTCCTTCCATGGTTCTCTTTGCTTCACTCAGTGATGAGCCTTCCAAAATTGCTTCTAATTGAGCATTTATAGCTCTGTTTTTTCTTCCTAAACTATTTACTTTTCCCACTGGTTTCCTTCCAAAATTCACATGTTCGCATGATACCACTTTTAGATAGTTACACAAGGTCCCTCATAAAGATTATAAAAAAGCGCATATGTTGTGAAGTTGGAAAAACTTGTGAATTTCTGTTTTTGAGCAACCCCTTATAACTAACTAGGACATGCAAAAACAGTTCACTCCTTTCCATCTACTAGACTGCCTCATTTATAGTCAAATGCCTCTTGCTTTAAGAACATGCAAGTAATATGCTTTTCCAAATAATATTTGGCTCTCTAAGTGTTTTCCCTGTATGGTATTTGACTGAATTATCCGCTTTCATGAGAAATAATCTAGATAAGAAAATATAATCTATCCTGAGATTTGTTTGACTCTTCATTATCGAGCCAACTACTTGTATGAGAACGTTCATGATGATTATATCTAGATATCTAATGTATGGTAAATTGGAATGACAGATCGTACAATGGATTTCTGAGATTATCAAAGATGGTGACTCAAAGAACCTTCCTTCATTTGTAAGTTAATTTCCCAAATCTCTCTGTTCACACCAAAAGGATCTTGTTCTTATTTTTTGGTTCAATGGTGTTTTGGGTTTGAAAATGGATCTTATAAATGACGCCCCTCCTTCAAGATTGTAAGCTCTATTCATGACAGCAGTTGCCAGTTGGTGTAGTTGATATACCAGGACTTCGCATGTGCAGAATTATTAACCCTTTGCTACTAAATCTATATGGAGATTGATCTATCATCTCTCACTTGGGTGGAATTATGGATACTAGTCTGGAAGGTACTTTATGAATGTATGTGGGAGGAGTGACAGGAGCAATGTCCTTTTAATCAACGTGGGAGGAAAAATAGATCTCAAAATCCTGAGATAATGATTTCTCATGTTATTCATATGTTGATTATTGCAAGGATGTAAAACAGTAGAAACTTGTCTTTATCCCTTTCCTAGGCTCCTTTTCTATTTCTGTATCTTTATATATACATTTTGTTGCAGAAAACAAGAACTCCTGAATTGGTCCCAGAGGATGCAGATTCCAGTTGGTCATCTTGGTCTGAAGGAACTGTTAGTCCTAGTAGAGGATTGATTCATAGGGTCAAAAGTTTCCTAAATAAAGTTCATGATTACAGCGGCGATCCAAGAGTTGGACCTTTCTTGCTCCTGGCAGCACTGATCTCATTTGGCAGTGTTTGGTTTAAGAGAAGTCAGGTAGCTCAGTCAAGCGGGCCTGATCATTCAAGCCAGAAATCCAATGAGCCAGAACGTTCGAACCAGCAGACCAGAGAGCCTGATCAGTCAAATGAACCAAATGCAAAGGTAGTGATAGGCACTTTCAGTTTGTTCCTGAAACGATGTGTATATTGACCTCTTTGAAAATTGACTTGGATCGTTTCCACCTTTGTATCTTTTTTGCAGGACGCAACCATGCGAAAGCGAAGAACTCGCCCAAGAAACGATCTTGTTCCACCTTCTATGACCGACGTGGACCCAAAAGATGCTTACCAAGCGGAGTTTTCAGTTTCAGGGTAGAAGTTGAAACTGGTGGTGAGCAGGCGGATAACTAACAGCCACCGCCTTTACCTAACTGTTTACATTGTTGGCTTTGATACCATGTAGTCATGTACATTGAGCTCGATAAAGTTTCTTGACCTGTAAACACATTTCTTCAGTAGTTTACTTTTAATTTATTAAGGAAAAAGAAAATGAGACCCAAGACAATATGTCATGATTCTGATTTTAAAAACTACCATTATATATTCGCTTCCATTTTCTTTTCTTACAAATTGTTTAGTTACATAGAGTGCGTAAACATTAATTTTATGAAATGTCTGCCAACCATATGAGGGGCTTAAATTTTGATATAACAGGAAGCGTGTAATCCATTGTTTGTCATGCAGTAAAGGGTACCTATAACCTTACTATTTTGGTCCCATTGGCAGATGGTCCTCCTAATCAAGAATTGGGATTTATCTTAAATGAAGGCATCATCTGCTCAGATCAAGGCTTGAAACGTAACATATTTGTCTGGTGATTCAGGTAGTCCAGCAAAAAAGCACTAGTACTTTCCATCAGACAAATAAGAGTCCCAACAGAAACAGAAATTTATGGTTTAGCTTTCATCAAAAACTGTAAAAATACGGTTGTGTCTAAGAATCATAACAATGAAAGAATCTTGAAATAAGTTATAGTAACTACTCCTGCAACAATTGTTGGTTACAACAATTCACCTTTTTGATCGAATAACTTCAAACCCCAGCTATTATCCTCACAATGTCTCACATGAGGAACAATGTTAACTGTGTTATTACTTGCTGTTTTCTTCTTGCAATCGTAGTAAGGGGGAGAATGATAACATGGCTCCAAAGACGTAGCTCGAAAACAAGGCGGATCATGGACTGTCCCTTTTTTAAACTTGTATAATATCCATGGCTTCAAACCTCCAAGACTATAAGCCACATAACCAAAAGTGGACCATCCACTTGTAACCAATTTATCAGTTAAACTCAGCAAATACATTTCTGCCAAGGCCTTTCTGTCATGCATCAGCTTCTCAGTTTGTTGATGCTCTTCATGACTTGGCTGAAAAACACTAACAATCTCTCCTGTCACAGTAGGATTCTGCCAATACATGTTCCTAATCTCCTCGAAGTATCGTGAACTCAGAGATGTCATCAAGATGCTTATAGTCTTCGTCTTGCTAGAATAATTGACTATAGGCTCATTCAGGTTAACCTGTGGTAACAGATTCTCCTTTGTTGCACAAGCTAATATTTGATTCAACACATACTTAAAATTGCTTACACCTAAACTGAAAACTCTAATTTGAATGCCTATTTTTTCATCTGCTTGAGCTAAATAAGCTTGATAGTACCTAGTAATAAGCCCCCATACAGAATTTGTTGGATGGAAAAGGTACTTACCCAAGAAGTGGAAGACAGTTTCTTTCTCTGGAAAAAGATTGTTTAACTCTTGCTCGAACGATGGGATCAAGAAAAGAGCAGGAATATAATAGTTATTTGACTTCACAAATAGCCAAGGGACTTTGTGGAGAAAAGTTTGGTCAGTGTCACAGAAGAATAATTTATCTTGCACATCAAAGTCATGAGATAAATGAAGGTAGAGGAATGAAGGTATTCTTGACTTGCCTGTGACATTATTTCTCACCATATAACCATAAGAATGTGGAGATTTCTGATTAAAGCTACTAAACTGATCAATAATAGGAAAATCTGGAGGAAGCAACCAAGAAACTTCAGGAAAAGGTTCACAAAACAGGTTATGCAAATTAGCTCTGGGGTCAACCAGAAGGACTCTATTTGTGAGTAGAGCATAAAGGAAAGCAGAAGTTAAGGTTAGTATTCTGTTCCCTAAACCACTATACGATATCCAAACAACGTAGTTACAAACTGAAGAACCACTACTGTATTCACCGGACTTTATAAGGTCTACTGTTCTGTTGTATAATTCTGTGTAAGGTCCGCATTGCTTGTGAAGAGCTTCGTATCTTCTTAACCCCGAGATAAGATAAGAGGAAGTCTTATGCTGCAGAGGTTTGCTATATAAGTGTGATTCATACCTACTCAAACAAGATGTTTCATCAAATCCAGTAGGAAGAAGACCACCAAGTAGTTTATCTTTTGGCACTGTCAGTGGCTGCAGAATATCCTTTTCAGATACTGTGGTTGGAAGAAAGAAAACGAAAAGAGTAAGATTACTGCACAATCTCAGTAGAACAAACAAGTCTTTTTCTCTGCATCAGAAAAGTTAAATTCCATGAAATGGAAACTTCTGTTGCTAAACTTGCTCCTTTGTTTTAGCTTTATTCATTATGAAACATAATGAATGACATGTCACGTAATTTCTATACATATTATTCTATTTTCAACAAACTTGAATTGCAGAAATACTATACAAGTGAAAGGAAAAGTGGGAAAATAAAGAGAAAATGCAGCACCTTTTGAATGTTTAACATGAAAAATTCTAGCTTCAGCCAAAGTCCACAAGCAATCAGAAGGTAAGTCCCCGAAAAAGAATGCAACTGAGAAAACAATCGTAAGAACCATCAAGAGAACAACTATAAAACCCACGAGTGTCATTGGATTCGGACCCCATTTCAACTCTGAATTCTTCAAAACAGTACCTGATTCGCGATCAGTAGAAACTTGCTGATCATTGAAGGTTTTCTTGGATCGCTTCATAGTCACTCGAAGCAAGTAGAACTGAAAAGACAGTTGCAAATGTAGAATAACAGATTTGGCAAAGAGTTAACAACAAATTCAATGGTTGGTGGATACATTATGTACCGATTCAATTAATTTCAATTTACTAGTGATGATTGCTTTCCTTTGTCTGCAAAGTGCAGATCATCTTGCCTCTATTGTTGTTTCCTTTTTCGTTATACATGACTTTCAATGTTGTTCATTTTGGCTATTAAAATCTTTTGATCATTCATAGAATGTTGGTCGAATTTGGACAAACATGATACTTTGAGCTTGAGTTTTTATATTCGACACCAACCCCCTTGGAACTAAATTGGGGGCAAGACATGACCGCGACTTAAAGAAAAAAGTACCCTCGAAAAGATTCAATGCCATTACTATTTCAGGTCAATAAGTTGTATACTATCAAAAGTTATTAATGTTCTTACAATGTTAAGCAAGTAAAATTAGTCCAAAACAAGAAGAAACACATAATTGAATGTTTACTTTGAAAGAAGGCAAGCTTTGACTTCTAGAGAGTTGGTACATTAAATTAAAACTATATACAGATACAAACTGGAACATATATTTGTCAAATAGTTTTTTTTTTTCAATTATTCTTATTTCTTTAGCCATCAATTATTAACAACTCATTGTTAAGAGCTCAAGAAAGTAAAATCCAAATATAATTATGTTTATCTGTTAAAAGTTTTTGTTATTTTCCTTCTGATATATAGTATGATATTGTAAAGTTTTGAGTTCAAAGTATATAAACTCATAATCTAAGATATTATCTCTAGTGTCATAGTTCGGATTTTCATTAAGAAAGTTCAAAATAAACACATAATGAAATCCAAGGAGATTCAACATCTACTATATATACATAAAAATATTTTTAACTATATATAAACTCATAATTTAAATAATCGAATGAATCCCTCAACCGACTCCGCCCTAGAGTTTATCACGATCAAATTATCTATAAAAAAAAAAAAGTTATACTTTTAAATTATAACTCATGAATATATGCAACTAATAAATAGTTACCTAGAAATAAAACACAACTTTGTTACAATAACTTGAATATAAAATTATAAGGAAGGTGACTTTTGGCTTTGGCTTTTCTACGTTGGTGTTTGGTTTGTGTGCTTGTGGCCATCATGCGATAAATGAAGGATGGGAGGTCCCCTGTTCCCTACAAATTGAGTTAGCAAAAGAGAAGGGCCAACCATTGAAGATAAGCAAAGCCGCTATGAGAAACCAAATCGGACACGTGTCCACCTGATATTTCATTCTTGATTTTCCTCAAAAATAACAGTTTTCGGTTCTCGTCTTGGAAGTCTCTCAAAAGGGTGGTTGGAATTTTGAGCTGTGGTGCTTTCAAATTGACAAAGTACCAACCTTTATCCTCAATTTTCAACAAGGGAAAAGTTTGCTTCAAGAAAAAAAATAAAAAAAATCAATGGCGACTGCTTCTTCTTTGGGTTCATCAACTCTGTTACAATCCCAAATTAGTGGATTTGGCGGGAGTCAAAAGCTTCAAAAGATTTCTTTCTCCAACCCCAATTCACTCACTTTCACCAGGTTTTTCTAATTTCTTGATTGTCTTACTTTCTTTCCCTTCCTAATAATTAACTCCTTTACTAACAATCGTTGTACTTTGAGTTATGGTCCGCAAGTTAACTAGATTGCTAGCCTGGTGTGTGAAGTCTTGAATCAGTCATTTCCACAGGGAAAAAATTGGACCTTGATGTTTTTGGGTGTGTAGAAAGGGTGTATGGATCTTTTTCTTGGTGCTGTTGTGATAACAGGAATTTTTGCACTCCCTATGTTTGTGAATATGCTTCATATCCTATTTGAAGTTTTGATTTTCCTGTGTGTGGTAAGCAAATGGTCTTGAAGAGTCAATGTTCTAAGCTGGATAATATGCAATTCAGGATTGTCTTGTGGTAGACAATTTAGAATCTAATAGCATCAAGAACCACCCTCTTCAATTGGCAATTGGTTGATAATGTAAAGCTCATGCAGGAATGCTTCTTGACAATGTCATGTTTTTTTTACATTCTGATTTAATCCTTGTTCAAGTCACTTTGATTTCTATGTTTTTCAACAGGCACCAACCATAACTTGAATTTGATTCCAGTAGCTATTAACTATCTATCTCACTGATGAGATTATGCTCACTAGGTGATGCAATGTTGCTTATATAGTTGTAAAAATGAGCCGATTTCTTGAATATATCAGCTGAGTTCATACATTTTTTGTTCTTTTTGGACACGGGCAATTCATTTACTTTTCTTGAACAACTGCATTTTTCTTTCTTATTCCTAT